GACTGTCAGTTTTGTGTTAAAAATGTGTAATTGTTCATCATTTACAGTTTTAGTACACCAAAATGAGGATAAAGTTCAATATTTTCAAAATTTCAATGTAAATACGCAATAGGTGCAATAGTGTCCATTTCTGAGACGCCCGCAGTAGTGATTTCTAGTTCTCTGTTTTGCGGGTGGCGAAAAACGGAACTAAAGTTTGCCATACTGCATCACGTTCAAATTCGGTTGAATTGTTAGAATCGTAAAAAATCTAGCGCCCTCGAACATACAAACGGAGCTTGGTTGACACCAATCTCATTCGATGATTTATGCAAAAATTAGATGTGGCATTTGGATATGCCATGTATGTTAACACAAGACTTCGGAATTTTTTAAACATTTTATTAAAACAGAAAAGTAGAAAGTATTTACATATGCTTGTTAATATTTTTATTTTAATATTTAATATTTGAAATTTTTATTTTTTTTATTCTAATATAAACAGATTTTGGTGTTTAAGGTCACCTCAGATACATATTTCTTATATCGGTTTTTTTAATGTACATTTTATCTGTATGCACTTTGCAAAATTCATAAATCAAAAAGAATTTAAAAAAAAAATTAAATTATTTTTGATTTACTTTTTACGTACGTTTCAGTTTTGCAAATCGTGTAACGTCGCGATATGTTTCAACCTAGAGCAAGATTGCTGATACCTACAGTACCATTCGTAAATGAATAAATACTACTGTAGATACAGTCAATCCAACAAGTACCAGGAGCCTTTTAAAGAAATGAGTACCCATGTTATATATTTATTCAATTTTATACTTACGTTCATCCATCCATACATTTAGTTTTTATTGTTGCCTAGCTATAATTTGTTCAGCTGATCATTTCAGACTATCATCGTTGAAATAGTTAAGTTACAGCCTATTTACGTCCCACTGCTGGGCCTTCCCTCACTTCTGAGAGGGTTTTAGGGCAAAGAAGTGTCCGCCGCGCTGCCCCTATGTGTGTTGGCGCACTTCACATGTCTTCGAAATATTTTTTCTTATTTCTCAGACTGTCATATTTCTACGATATTTTCCTTCACCGCCGAGCACGTGGCAGATCAGCACTTAAAATTGCA